AACAGGTGCGCGGCGACCGCAGGGCTCGGGGCCGCTCTGCACGCCGGGCCTCGCCCCTCCCCACGCCGAGGAAGCGTGAATGAAGCCCACGACCGAGGGGAGGGGGAGTGGAAGCCAGGAGAAGGGGCTGCGAGGGGTGGGGACCGGAGTTTAAATGGCAGGAAGTGACGCCGAGGCCCGCCGTTGCCTGGAAACGCATTTTTCTGTAGGAAGGAGGAGAGCGGGGCGGTGGGGGCGTGCTGGTCAGTGCGTTTCCCCTGCGCCTCCTCGCAGATCGAGAGCTGGCCCAAGGCGTGAGGGAGCTCACGCAGCAATTCAGAGAGGCAGGGAAACGAAGAAGTAGGAAAAAGACTTCTCTGGGCAGAAAGTCGCTGTGCCCAGCGGCCAACATGTCTGAGTTGTGAAGTTGGCTTCTCAGTTCGTGGAGCTGCTGGAAGTTGCCGTCGGTCGCTTTCCCTGGGCAGTTTGTGCTGTGGCCTGGCCCTTTTCGACGTTTAGCATCCTTTACAAACATCTCGATGACTTGGACAAAGCGCAAGGTTTTTAATTCTGTCTCTTCTTAGAGTCAGAATACATGGGGTGCTGGGTTTGGTTTTATCGTCCTCGGCAATCCCTCCCGAGGCCTTTACTTCTGAAGAGGAGAAATCCACAGGTAGAGGAAGAGATTGCGATTTACCTCATAACCAGGCAGCTAGATCCCAGAGGGTCTGTTAAAGACTGCTCTTAATACTTTGTTGGAACCAAATTATATTGTACATGGGGACTAAAGAAAGTTCATGGAGAACTTGAAGTACAAGATTATTTTGGAACCAAAAAACCAAAGTGCATGCTTAGTTTTGTTTTCCATAATTTGCATTTTCCGTGAACTTGAAGAGTCCTGGTATTATCTGGAATGTTAGGTACCTAGAGGTTTCTCCGTTCAGAAATACCCCAGACCACTGATGCTAAATCTCACAAATCTGAGTAACATTTTTTCTCCTTATGTTACAAGTTCTTGAAAAGCAGCGCTTGCTTTACTACCTTCCGTCTCTCTCTTGCTCTGTCTCTCTCTGGTCACATTAAAATGAATAAATAAATAAAGATAAACCAATCTGTAAAAAAATGCAGATCCTTAGGCCAACAGGTGGCATGGAGGTTAAGGCAGTTGGATGCCACATGGCCGACTTCACAGTTTGAGTCCTGGACCCAGCAGTTTGAAAAATATGCCAGGTGCATGTCAGTGGATGTCCAAATCCTACAGGAAACTGGAGGAGAAGGGATTATGGTGTGGCCATCACCCTGAGGGGGTGATTTCTCACATTCACTCTTTCTCCATCTGTCTCTCTGGTGAGTGCACACATCCTATAGCAAACTAAAAAACAAAAACAACAAAAAAGTTGATTCTTGGTTCCAAATCTAAGAAATCAAATCAGCGTTTGATACAAGAATATAATCTGTGAGTGTGCATTTTTCATAGGCTCATGGAATTTCAATGCACACATTCATTCTTTGGAAACACTGAATTGCACAACAAAAAATAATTAAGCAGCTCTTTTTCCTTAAAACTGCTAACAGCAGAGATTTAAAATGAAGTCTTTTTTTTCCTAGTTACTCATTTAATTTTATTATTATTATTATTTAAATTTGACCAGAGAGAGAGAGAGAGAAAGCAAGTCACCAAGTCTATAACTTTGAACCATGGTCGACCATATGGGAGCCCAGCGACTTAAGTACCATATTACCTGCTAGCCCCCACAAAAGCCTTTTTTATATTGTTGAATCTTTTTGAAATGCCTGCTAATAAAAGTATTTAAGAAATACTTTTAAAAAATCAGGACCAACAACGTTTAAAAAAATCCAACATGGCCACCATGGTTTGAATCCCTGGCCTGATCTGCCCCAAACACATTGGGCACAGGTGCCCAACACCAGATGCACTTGAGAATTGGAGAAAGGGGATTCTGACATGAACAGACCCCATGACATGTGCATGCATGCACATGCCTGCATATGCACTGTATCATGAATGAAGAAAAAGAAAATCAGGGCTTACACTATATCATCAAGAAGAAGGTTAGGGACCAGTAGTTAGCATAATGGCTATGTCGCTGGACTCCCATGTATTTGACCACGGTTCAAGTCCTGGACCCAGCGGCTTAAACTCATGCCGGGTGCATGTGCGTGCATGCCCAAGATCCCAAGAAGAGAATGGAGGAGAAGGGATTGTGGCATGGCCATCCCCCCGGGGGGTGATTTCTCGCTTTCTATCTCTCTGTCTCTCTCTGTCCTTCTGGCAAGCACACGCACCCTATAGGGAAAACATCTCAAAAAAAGAAAAAAAAAGATGTAGGTCAGATTTTTGCACACTACAATAATCCAGTGGAACTAAACTATGTTTCATTGACCTGTAGGTAATAACTGTATAGCAGTAGTCTTTAGCAATCATTTAGATTTGCTACACTATATTAGTTGGGCAGATAGTATGATCTATGACCTCCTGTTCACTGTATACCTCCCAATTGGGAACACACCCTGATGTGGATGCAGTAAATGAGTGTCAAAAAATTTTTTTTTGAGAGGTTTTCGCTATAGGGTGTGCGCTCACCAGACAGACAGAGACATAGAGACAGAAAGTGAGAAATCACCCCCCAGGGAGGATGGTCACGCTGCAATCCCTTCTCCTCCATTCTCCTCTCAGGATCTTGGGCACCCAAGCACACGTGCCAGGCATGAGTTTTAAGCCACCGGGTCCAGGACGGGAACTGCGGTCGACTATGTGGGAGTCCGGCGACATAGTCATTACGCTAACTGCTGGTTCCCAAGTATCGAAATTTTTGATTTATCACTAAAAGGATAATTTTAAGTCAAAAGCTTTGTAGTTAAAAGATACCTAGTATCCACACCAATCCATTCCTTGTGTTGTGCCAAGAAACCTATTCCCTAAAATGAAGATATCTGAGGATTTTATAACTGCAACAAATGTAGCATTCTTTTTTCTTTTTTCTTTCTAGATCCTTTTGCCTGGGATCTTGGGCACACGTGCACACACTCCTGGCGTGAGTTTTAAGCCACTGGGTTGAGGATTTGAACTCTGGTCAGCCATGTGGGAGTCTAGTTACATAATCACTTATGCCATCTGCTGCCCCCCAAATGTTTCATTATATCTTGCTCTACTGAATAAACTATTTCATTAATGAAAAAAATCTGCAACACTATTCACAAAAGCCAAGATATGGAATCAGCTGAAGTGTTCATCAATAGATGAATGGATTAAGAAAATGTGGAATATATACGTGATGGAATACTATTCAGCCATTAAAAAGAATAAAGTTCTGTCATTTGAGACAACATAGAGGGCCCTAGAGGATAATATATTAAGTGTAATAAGCCAGACATGGAAAGACAAACACCGTATGCTTTCACTCATATGTCAAAGTAAAAAGGTTGACCTCATGGAATGAGAGAGTGAAATAATGGTTACTAGAGGCTGGGAAGGAGACTGGGAGTGGAGGATAGGGAGATGTTGGTTACTGAATACAAAATTAATAATACAGTTAGATAAAAAGAATGAGCTTTAGTGGTCTTCAATAGGTAATTATAGTCAACCTTTATTTGTTGATAAAAACAAAACAGTTCTTTTAAACATTTGCATGCTTCATTTCATAAAGATTAGGAAAAAATACAAGGCTGGCAGATGCCATGGTGGTGTGGGTTAAGGGTGCTGCACTCCCACCTGGGTGAAAGTGGTTCGAGTCCCAGACCTGGGGGCTTTGCGCTCTCACTTTTCCTCTCTCTCTCTCTCTCTCTCTGTTCCTCTCTGGTCAAATTAAAATGAATAAATAAATGGAGTTAGATAAAATAATTTGGGACCAGCAGTTGGCGTAATGGCTATATCACTGGACTCCCATGTAGTAGATCGCAGTTCGGGTCTCAGACCCGATAGCTTAAACTCATGCTTGGTGTGTGTGCATGAGTGCCCAAGATCCTGAGAGGAAAATAGAGGGGAAGGGATTGTGGCATGGCCATCCTTTCTGGGGGGGGGGGGGGATTTCTCACTTTCTGTCTCTCTTTCTCTGTCTTTCTGGCAAGCGCACTCACCCTATAGCAAAAACCTCTCCAAGAAAAAAAAGATTCTTAAAAATAAATAAATAAGGACCAGTAGTTAGTGTAATGGCTATGTCGCTGAACTCCCATGTAGTTGACCGTGGTTCGAGTCCTGGACTTGGTGGCTTAAACTTATGCTGGGTGCGTGTGCATGCGTGCCAAAGTTCCCGAGCGGAGAATGGAGGAGAAGGGATTGTGGCGTAGCCATCCCCCCTGGGGGGTGA